TCGCCGGCGCGCACAGCGGCGCCTGGCGGCCGGAGGACCGCGCCACGCCCGCAGGCTCCGAGGCCCCGCCCCGGGCGGAGCCGTCCGGTCCCCAGGACACGGGTCCCGGCGACCCTGGAATTCACCCGCTCCCAAAGCACAGACGACATCACAGGGGAAGGTGCTTGAGAGCCCAAAATATTTTATTTAACAATTTGCATTTAGGAAAAATAGCAGCTCCCACTTCGGAGGAAGCTTCTTGGGTCAAAAGTGGCTGGCAGTTGTCGCAGAGCCTGTGCAGCGCTGGATCCCAGGAAGCCGTGCGGCCCAGCAGGGGCCACCAGCACTGCGCCCGGGAGGCCGGGGCCCAGGCGGCCTGGTCTCGGGTACATTCCGGAAGCTGCTCAGGGTCTCGCCCAGAGGATGAGGTGAACCAGGATACTGGGGCGGGCCGTGCCAATTCCACATTCTACAGTTTCTCTACCTAAAATACCTAACCGTTTACGCTCCCCCAGCAGAACCTACATTATTACCTACTGATTTCATAAATATCCGACTCTCCCCATCGTCTCAGTCCCCATAAGAAAGAAAGTAGTAAGAACAGTGGCTGGGCCCTTGCAGCCTGGTGGAGCTGCAGCCAAGGTCTCCATGGGCACTTGGGGGCAAGCCACGCCGAGCGCCCTCCCGAGCCCTGGCCATACTAGCGTCTCTGGGCCGGGCACCCATAGGATGGCACTTGGGATGGAACCAGACCAGCTGCTCAAAAGCAACAGCCCAGGCGACGTGCCACCACACGCTTCGGCCTAGTCAAGCCTCACACGCCTTCATTCCCAGAGACAGGCCCCGCAGCAACCAGGGCTCTCCCCCACTGCAGCCACCACTGGCCACAGGAGTGCACCAGCCAGCCTGTGGTGGAGCGGGACCTGCCCCTCGGGCACTCTTTCCTCTGAGACCCTCACAGGAAGTGTGGGGCCACGCCAGGGCCCGGCTTTCCTTTTCTGACACTCCCAGGGTGTACCACGTCCCTAAATCATCCTAAGGGACTGAGAAAAGGAGCATTGTCCTTTACGTGAAAAAGTCTGAGTTGTATTCATACACTCAGCCTCCTAAAAGGACCAAGGAATTAATTCTGCAATAATGAATACCAACAGGCTGGAGGAGGGAGACACACAGTATGACCGGCCAAGTTACTGCTGTGTCTGCCCAGGGACAGGACCCTGGTGGCCTGTGTAGCTCCTGGCAGGTAGCAGTCATTTCAGGGTCCCAACCGCAAGGACAGGTAGCAGGCAGTTCTAGTTGAGCGCTGGGTATCTGCGCTGGCCAATCCTCCCAGGCCGTGAGCTCCCCGACGTGGCAGAAGCCTGCAGTAAAGGGACCAGCACTGAGCTCTGCATGTCACCCCAGGGAGGCAAACCCCAGGGCCTGTGGTGTGGGGTGGTCCCTGCAGAGTGTGGGGCAGGGGCCACGGGGCACAGGCTCTCCCAAGGCTGAGCACAAGTGGGTCAGCTCCAGGCTGATTTACAGAACTGGGCTTGAAGCATCTTGTTTCCTTGCACACAGGGCCTAGAAGTTTTTTAGGCCAATCCTGCAGGGCTGGCCCGGCAGGTGAGGAAGGCAGTGAGGCCAGTATTTGTCCCTCTGATCAACAGGCCCATAGGAGGGAGGAATGGAGGAGAGGAAGGAAGCAGGGAGGGAGGGGAGGAAAGGAGAAGGTGCTTTGAGCTGGAAGCTGAGGACGCAGCTGGGTCTCAGCTGCAGGCAGGGGGCAGAGGCAGGGTCTGCAAGGTGAGGTGGGTGAGGCCCACCCAACCCCCCTCCCCAGGCAGCACACCCTCCACACTACAACAGCATGGGCCCGAGGTCACAGCTGTCCCTCCAGCCTGCAGAGGACAGTGCCCATGCTGCGCCCACACAGGGCACAATGCTTTCAAGCTAGAGGGGACACTTGCCCGAGGGCGCCACCCACCCTGCCTCAGCCAGCGCACTGCACACAGGAGGGTCCCTCCAAAATGGCTGTGTGCCGTGTCAAGGACCCCTAGATATGTCACCAAGACACGGGTCAGAGAACACCGCACTGGGCTGCAGCCTGCTGGCTGGAGGCAGTGCCCCGTGCCAGGACAGCACACACTGTGTGGCCAGTGTACTGACCCAGGAAAGCCACGTCCACTCCTGCAGCCCCAGAAGGACAGAGGTGCTCACTGGGGCCCATCCAGCACCAGGCAGGAAGCCACGGAGCAAAGGCCCCAAACAGCAGAGCCAAGAACAAGTGCCTGTCAGTGTTGAGAATCCCAGAGGAGAGGGACGGGTGGTGGCGTGGAATGGGATTGGGGACTGAGCTTCCTCACACACCTGCAGGGTGCAGCTGTGGTCGAGGAAAGGAGCAATGTGGGGCGCAAAGACCCACTTGACCACCCAACAGCGCTCACCATGGGCACTGGGCAGGGCTGCAAAGGGGGACAGCGCCGCTGGGGGAGCCCCCGACCGCACGGGGGTCACTGGGACCCTGAGCACAGGCAGGCAGCACCGCACTTACGGGCAGGGCCACTCTGGGAAGGCCTGGGAATGCTCCAAAAGGCCCAGGGGCAGGCGAGGACAGCAGCGGGAGTGCTGGATGCCGCCATCAGGGGCAACAACACTCAAGAGCGGCACACAGAGCAAGCTGCCAGCATGGGCTGGGGGGCTGGCTGCGGCAGCACCCCGTCAGCGCCAGCCCAGCAGTTAGGAGGCTTGGAGCATGCCCTGGGGAAGCAGGGGCTGACAGCCACCCACGGCCCACGACACATGCCACAAATGAGTGTTCTTCTACACGCCATATGGCCTCGGGATGGCCAGCAGATCACACCGGCTGACCAGAAACACCTCCCCCGCAGCAGAAAGACATCTTCCTGCCGGGGGCCAGGGAAGCCAGGCTGCAGGACCAGAGCTCAGAACGGCAGCACAGCAGCAGAATGATAAAGCACGCTTGTTCACTCTCTATCCCGTGGGCTCAGCGTCAGCACCAGGAACCAGGCATGAAAGGCAAGCCTGCCAGGGCCGCTCAAGGCTAGGAAGCCTGCCTTTTAGCAGTGCATGGCTTGGGCCAGACAGGGCAGTCAGCAACTGTACAGGGTGGCGAGGGTACATGGGACACGTGAGCACAGAGGACCGGGAGCCCAGTGCCTGCTGGAGGTGCCGGGACAGCGAGCTCGCCGAGCTCCAGCTTGACAGCTGCGGACAGCAAGAGCACAGATGTGCGGCATCAGCTCACCAGCCACACCACACTGCCACCACGCACGCACAGGGCATGGCAGGCTCAGGGGACCCAAAGCCCTCATGCAGGCTGTGCCAGGAAACACCCCTCCACCTGAAGGTGACACCAGGGCATGCTGGCTTCAACTGGCGCCACTTCGAAACTCAGGGCACCCGTGCC